TTTTTCTTATAATCTAAAAATAAATACTATAAAAAAGTAATTTATATTTTCAAATATTATTATACCAAATTTCATTTAAATATTCTAAATTATTAAAAAAAATAGATTAGTAGCATATTTATAGTATCAACACAGTCAAATTTGCCTATATTAGTCTACAATCTAAAGGATAATGATTCTTTACTGCAGCTATAGTACATATCATCTGATTTATACTTTTGGAAAGGTTTTATCACAAAATCCCAATATTCCAAATCTTGACAGGCCATAATACTGATATCATGTGATATGACAATTAAAAATTTAAAGTCTAACAATGATTATTAATGTGATTATTAATCTTTAAATATTAATTGTCATATAGAGATTATAGTTTTCGAGATTTTGGATGTTAGAAATTTTGTAGTAAAATCTTTTAGAGATCACTCTAGCTAATTCTTCAAGCTATATAGTTTCATAGCTTACAAATAATAGGTTAGATAGTATATATGTTTATTCTTTACTATTTTATTTTTCGATTTAGCCTTATTCTATTTTGATCTTTACTAATAAATTTTTTTTACAAAATGATCTTAGTTAATATTGAATAATAGCACAAAGTTTTAATAGCATTGCTACAATAGGTGACTATGAAATTTAGTAGTTATTGATATTTAATGTTGCAAATAATATTGAATTAGATAATGCTAAAATTTTGATTTATTTTATGTTAGATTTTTAAATTTTATAAGGTGCTGATTTAAAGAGTTAAGAGTTATTGTTGTTAGCAAGAGTATAGATAGATTTTAGTAGACTTTTATTTTAAAATCATAACCTTCAAATTTCAGCATCATTCGCAGTATTTAATAAGTATATTCAAAAAGACAAGAATTTATATTTATTAATCGAGTAGATAAAATTTATTAATCTTATAATAATAATCTTGCTATTTCTTTATAAAAGATTATAAAGATATTAAGAGCATTTTAAATCTATTCTGACATACAATATATATGAGTTAATATTTAAATAAACAAATAAATTTTCTATATATACTTGTATTGCTTCAAGTTTTCTTTAAAATATTCTCAAAACTGTGAAATTTTCTAATTATTTTTCTAAAAAAGTAAAGAGATAACGTGTTAATAATAACAAGTGCAATATTTTTTATCCAAGAGCTTGCTATATGTTGTGTCAAGAATCGAGAGATAAGAAGCAAAATCTTTTCTTGGTGATGCAAAGTTTTCAAATTTACAAATCCTGTGTGAGAATGAAACCTGTTACTCTTAAATGAGAACAATACTCTTATAGAGCCATATAGGTGGTTTGCATTGTCGATGATTTTAAAAAAACTTAATACTGTAATATATATCTATATATTATTCACAGATTTGATTAGCCAAAAAATATATAGTTTTTCTTTATTTTTTGTCTGTACTAGATATAAGACCCATCGTTAAACGACAGGTGCTATACAGCAGAATTTTTATATTATAATAACATTTATATAGATTGATAGTTCACAATGGCAGTAAAATAAAAACAACTTAGGCAGAAAATTGAGATTTGATAATGTAAAGCAATTAACTTAAAGAACTTTCTAAAAATACACATCTCATTAATAACACAAAGTTATCCAAAACTGTCTATAATTTGAACAAAAGTTATTATTCGCTGTACAACTGAATCTATCTCTTTATTGATTTAGAAAATATAAAATACTATTGCATATTAAACTATGCAATGTTATTTATACTGTAGAGCAAACAAAATTAAAATATCTTTGTCCAAAATGGTATGATAATTAAAAACCTTCAATAGCAACTGTCTAAATTCGAAATAATTAGTATATACAAATACTAACTCAAATATTGTTATCTGTTTGTTTCTTGTAATGTATTTAGATTTGCAACCAAGAATTAAAGTTTTAGTTGATTATATTGTCAGCTAATAGTCCAGATCAAGAACATGGAAATTAAATAATAAGAATTCGATTTACTGATTATTAAAATTAATAATGAGATTTTTATTGTGGTTTATTAAGCCTGACGAAAAAAATTAACTTGCAAAAATTTTTTTAAATATTGTGCACAACTAAGCATAGCAGCAATTTCTAATTATTGTACTTAACTAAATCAACAAAAATCAAAAATAAAATCATGCATTCAAATATTTTATGAAAAAATTTTGCTTCCTAAGGCCGCACAAATTTAATATCTTGGTTTTCATAACATGAAACTTTCAAACAGACCCGGCCGGGCAGCTTTTTTTTTTTAAATTTCATATATAAAAATTTTATAAAATTTTTTTAAAATTTTTTAAAAAGCCTACCCGGTTATTAAAACATATAAAAATTTTTTTTTACAAGATTTCAAATTTTGACCTGGCCGGGTTATGAAAACCAATTAATTAATTTTGCATGGCCTAATTAAAAACATTTTATTCTTTTAATTTAAAAGATGATATAATTATTTTTACTTTAAAATATAAATTAACTATAGCATAGAATAGTATTGTTATAGCTACATATGATATACAAAAGCAAATACATATGATACTAATGTAATATAAGCATAAGAAAAACTTAATAATGTGATTTTATTTAATCAAATATAATAAATATCAATTTAGATTACTTGATTTTTTTTTGTTTTTTACTGATCAGCTAATTTAAAAAAAAAACAACTCTCTTGCTAACGTTGCACTGTCAAGTATTCTGAATATAGAGTGATAACTTATCAAGCTTAACAGTGAAAAACAATTAGGATATTGTGCATCAGAACTAAATATTTAGTCAACTCAACCATCTAAGAAAAACTTATAAAATAAAAGCATCCTGCTTTTTAAATATATTTTTTTATATATAATAAACCTTTATTTATAAATATATAAATACATATTAATTGTATTTGATCACTTTAAAATTCTTGTAATCTAGATTGTAAGCACAGTTTAACTAATTTTGTATGATCTTAAGTAGTTGTATTTAGTATTTCGAAGGTATCAGTTATTGTAGAAACGCATCTTTGAAATATTTCTAGATAAACTATATTCTTAGTAAAACTTAATAGCTCGTAGTTGGCTGGTCCAAGAAAAATTCGTAACTTTTGGTAGGTAGTTATACATGAACATGTGATATACAACTGACTGTGTGAAAAAACCGGCTTGAGAAGATACAATCTAACACAATTTACCATCTGCCTTTGTGACTTGTAAATAGTCATAGCAAAGACAAGTTGATATGGAAACTGTCATTGTTTAAAAGCAAATGGTATCAAAGAATTTGTTGGTGATAATTTGATCCGTAGTAAAAAAACTCGTTTTTCTTTAAATAGTCTATTAACATATTTAGCTTCTATAACGTTATTTTGTAGTGTTCTGCAAATAAGCCTCGTGCCATTACAAAGATCTTCATTAGCATTGATATTTCGAAGTAAAATAATTGGAGATCCTACTTTCAAAGTTAATGTATGAGGTGGCAAACTGCTAAGCATTAATAAATTAAAGAAATCAGTCAAATATATATCTTCATAAGCTAGATTATATGTAGAAGAGCTCTGATCTAAAGCATCGGCACTAAAGTATATTTTTGCTTCTCCTGAAAATTGAGAAAGAATTTCAGCATTAAGCATGTTAACGTCAAAATTACATGGTACCAGAATGCTTCATTTTACAATATAAGTTGAGTCATACGAATTCATCAGCAAGGAAGGATAAACAAAATCGATTAAATTTTGATAAGATTCGTCATGCATAGTGATACTTTTTGGCAATTTTATGTAACTACTATTTGGCACGATTTCAGCTATTCGTCCTTCACCAATCATTAGTAGCCAATTAGCAAACTTTCTTTGCGTAACAGCTTCAGAAACATTTAAAGAATTTATAGCAGTATGTAAGCACATGTTAATAGTTAACTTTCTCACTTTAACAAACTATCATAAATGCGAACTACAAAGACTGGCACAAATAATATCTTCACAACCACCTTTTGGAACCACAAGAAGAATTTGGCAAAAATCACTACCAAAAATGAAAACTTTACTGCTAAAAGGTAAGTTTTTAGAATGTTGATCAACTGAACTCATGATATCTCTTAAAGTACGATTAACAGCTTCAACTGCATGGCGATGTATCATCAGTGCTTCATCCCAAATGATGAGAGTTGTTTGCCTTATAAGCTCTGCGAGATCAAAATTTGCAGAAATATTGTATGTTGAATTCTCATCTGGATCAATAGAGATTTTAAACCAAAAATGTGCAGTATGACCTCTGTCAAGTAGTAATGCCACAATTTCTGAGAACGCAACTGCTAAAGCAATATTTCTACAGAATTAAACTTTCGCTAAAAAAAAATTATAAAAAAAAGATTTACTCGATCCTGTTGGTCCATCTATAAAAAAGTATGAGGAAATATTGTTTTCCAACGCTTGTATTACTTCAATAAAGATGGCTCATTGATAATTATTTAAACGGTTTGTATTCTGTTCGACGAAATGTTCAAGGACATGAATATCATAATTTAACTTCTTATTTATAAAACAATTTCCAAATTCATGCACAGATTCTGGGCAGAGCATATTTGGAAAATCCTTTAGTATCTTGTTTTGCTATAAAAGAATATTTTCTAATTGCAATGCATTATTTTCGATTTCATGATCAGTAAGTTGTAGATCAGGATTTTGTGACTGTTGACATGCACGATACAATATATTATCAGTAAATAAATTAACATATTTCGTTCACAGTTGCTTGGGATTATTAGATTGACAGTTGATTTAAATTGTTGCGAATAAATGACGAAGCTGATGTCCTGAACATATTTTAGCAGCTTCTTCTAGACAACGATCCCATTCAAAGTCATCTTACAATAGACCTAGTACTTAGCAGGTATTTTTGAAAGTAGCATGTGTAAACCCATTCACAGTTCTTAGATGAACAAATAATTATGCTCCATGTACAACATTTAATAAAAGTTGTAAATAAAAGCACTCTCCTGCTGCAAGATATACAAAGTACATATGACCGATATAATTATCTCGAAGTTGTGGTTGCTATTTTTTTGATTTTGGGTTAAAAACAAATACCTGAGGAAATTGTGCGTATATATATCTACCTGCAACTGCTGCAAGAGCTGGATTTCTATTAGCTTCAAACCATGCTATTAAAGTTATTTTTTCATTTTGGGCTCGTTGAATTATAGCATCAAGAGAGTCATTGTTAAAAAAAGTGACCATGTGCTGCCCAGGGAGGTGTACAACTAAACAAATAATATCAGGCGATTCATTATGCATTTTGAAGTATATTATTTTCCAAAAAGCCTCTGGCACCGATACATAACATGCATCAATGTACTGTAAGATTTCATCAAGTACTTCTGTAGTTGATGTTTCTACCCTGTTATTACTGCTAACTATTACGATTGCCCTATCATAGCCCTTATACATGTACTTAAATAGGTATTTTATAGTACGAATTGAAGTACAAATTTCTACATTGATATGGCACTGATACTTTTTATACAAATACAAATTATGAGGCACT